CAAATGAAAAACAATCATCATTTATTTTTATCAATGCTTTCATTTTCACTTTAACGCCGGTGCTTTCCTCTTAAAAAGAAAATTTAAACACATACGGAAAAGAAATACTTGTAATCACACAAATAATTAGAAATATCGTGTAAAAAAAAAACGTACGCTTTACCTACTCTAACTTTCATAACGGTATCACCCGGATTCCATGTCTTCTTCGGAACACAAAATAATTTTAGAAAAGTAATAGTCTCCAGGCAAAAATAAGCAGGCATATTTTAACCGCGCTAGTAAAAACTTAATCGTGGAATAATTGAAAAAATATTGGAAAATCATCTCGATACTTGGATAGAGAATGCTGTTTTACCAAGGAATAAAGAAGAAAATAATACGAAAAAGCGTGGCACATCTTTCAACCAAACTTTCTAAAGTTGGAGGCTGATTTCAGAAGGGAACCCAAAACCACGAATATGTAACATCACACGCTCTCCTCCCCAACATCATACGATGTATATTTCGCATAATCATCTTCAACGAATCCTCAAAATATTCAGTAAACAAAAATAAATACGATATCAATCTAAATTTAAATGAATTTTCGGTTTTTTTATTAACTTGTGCACTGCTTTATAGACTGTTAACTTAATTAGATATATGCATTAAGATGTATGTGTGTCTCGAAATCTACTAGAGCTAAGTAGAGGTAGCTACATTTTCATAATAAAAGAAATGGAAATGTTATGTATTTTCTCTAAAATTATTGTTGTCAGGTTGAACAATATCAAAAGGATTTTTAGAACAGGATAATAAATCGATAATAATATTAAAAAAAGCAACGTTGAAAATACAACTACAATTCTTTTTGACACCGTCTTCGATTTTACAATAAATACGAAAATCCTGATTTCAAAACCAAAGGTTTATAGAATGTTTTGTGACGAGAAATCGTTATGAAGATATCTATAATGCCACTATATAAAATAAGGACATGGCAAACTCTTACAAATTCGACAAAACGTAACACAATAACACACTTCTGATAAGTCAGACCAATTTTTCGGCTGCTAATCATATCATAGGGTCTAATAATCAATCTAAAAGTGTGGTTTTCAATTAAACATAAATTAACATAAGTATCACGTATTGAAAGGCTAAGAAACTTCAAAATAATTCTTTACTAAGCTAAAACTACAGAATTAAAACATAGATTAACTAAGATAATCAACTGTCAGGCCGTAAAGTGTCTCAGCAGGACATGTAGTATAATGGGAAATGGAAGGCAAAATAGAAGAAAATGAAAGGCTTTTTTATGAAAACTTTACAAAAAACATACAGTGCACTAAAACAAACAAAACGCTTCTTTTTGGTCAGAAGACATTACATTTCAAGAATAACCGGTAATTGGTAAATAACAATGTCTGGAATTAAATTTCAATATATCACAACTTTGTATTCTCAGAAGTATTGTTATCTATACTTCACTTCTAACTGATCCATTTACGTGTGTATTGGACAAAGTGTTTGTAATACGAAGGTGCCTTTTATGTTTCGGGATGTTGGGCAACGCTGGCGTTGCAATTGGCAACTGATAGCTTCTATCTAAATGTAGATGTTTTGAGGTTATACGTACTCAGAACGTGTTTTTGACATTCACGAGCACTTATTTTGTGTTGCTCTCACACAGTAACTGTTAAAAGATTCATCTTGGGCCAAAATGGAATTAAATCGTGAACATTTTCGTGCGACTTAGTTTTTAACAACTTCGCGGACGTGGGACCTTAACTCAGCAACAAGTGCGTGCGATGAACTTAATTCAATTTTTGGCCGATGAGCTCATAGGACCAGTGTTTATCGATGGGTAATCGATTCCAATCCGTGTCATAAATCAGTCCAAGACGAATTTCGCGAAAGGTCGTCCAAAATTAGTTGTTCGTATTAGAAACCATTGAGCGTGGTGTGAACTGAATATTGCAGATCGTCATGTGGACTATCGTGAGATTGAGACAACCTTTAGGCCCATTGTGGGACCCTAGCATACATTCAATATTGCATAAATCTTGACGTGTCCAAAAATTTGTTGCGTTGGATCCCCACACAATTTGTCAATCCGCTCAAAAAAGGCTCGGTGTCGATTGGTTCGAATAAAAAATGTCAAAAATAAGATCACGGTGCTTCGAAACAAGTCTATGACATGTGGACAGGTGATGATCGTGGATTTACGTATATGAGCCTCGAAAGTAACAAAGTCGACTGTATGGGTGTTTCAAGATGAGGCAAAATCCACAGAAAGTTGGTTTCGCCGCACGAAGCACTTCAAAGATGGTCGCCTGCTTTTTAAATAAAACTTTGGACATATCATCAACCATAATCCCCACATAGACACGCAGAACGTGAAATCTGAGATGGTTACAACCACGATTTGTTCGCCAGCTTGTCTTCAAAACAATGCAGGAAAACAACTGCAGAAGACGGATACTCTTCACACGACATGCGGAGGCTTCACAATCGGCGCTAAACACTTGCATTTTTAGGGGCACCAAAACATCCGGATTTGGATGAGTCATCCCCGAGTGTAGTTTCTGACTTCTTTTTATCTCTTGTACGTAAACAACTGAGATGTCAACGTTTTTCACACGCTGAAGAAAGCGGTTGCTCGCACTTCAGAATGCATGTTTTTGGATGGCATGATATCCTCAATTAGAGTGGCCAAAAGTGCTCGACATTTGGTTCAACCCGATGAACAAATTGTTACGATTTCATGGGGAATATTTTGAAAAAAATAAAGTGATTTTCGATTATAATTGTTTGGTATTGCTTCTCCTAATCCTGAAATATAAAAAGGCACACCTCGTATATCATTGGCATATCCGTATATTCTATTGTTTTGCAATGCCAGGTATTTAAAATGTTATTTTCAAATATATAATTCATTATTGTTTGCATTTCTACCCTCTCATTTGCATATAGAAATTGATAATTAGTTAATTTAATTTGCTAGACTGTAAGAGTTCAAGTTCCATTTCGAGGTGATACCGAGTTGCGTATGTTCTGAGGAGCATAAACTGGGGGCAGATAACTAATTTGACTTTCATCAATTAGAAGATGAATTGTATCAACTACGTTTTCCTACAAGCCAGCCTCTTTGTCTCTCAAAGGGAACATTCTAAGAATATTATTAAAAAGTTGTGCCAGGGAATCTTTTTCCCCCTTGAAAATTGCAAGTGCTGTGGAGTCTCATGCTATTGTAGAAAATATATTTATTTTCAGGATCATGTAGATCAAATGGTAATATGCCATGTTTATGAAAACTGCTAACAAGAACTGGAAATCTATTAATAAATAATGAAACGCAATTTTGAATGTGAACATAAACAACTTTTGTTTTGGAATGTGTAAAATAAAAGTAATGTGTGTAAGAATAATATACTCTGATTAATCCTAAAGTGGTAAATTTTGAAAATTTAATAAATACTAAGAGACTGTTCAAATTCGGTAAAAATATTTTTTGGGATTATTTCGCATACTTCAGTGCTACGAAAGGTTAATATGTTTTTTGTTTTGATTTTTAGGTAAATGTAGCCAAATTTGGAGTGGTAAATGAATATCTGAAATAAATACTGTAATAATATTATTGATAATGATCATTTGTTCTAATCAATTTCTTACTACATATACTCATCAAAATTCCGTCAATCAAAAACATTCAGTATTTTCTTGCCATTTGTAGGCCTATGAGGCTAAGTTTTGTTGTGCGGACTTGTGGAAATATAGTCATGATGTGGGCCAGTTAACCATCAAAATAATTCTTAGAAATGAAAAAAACTAGTGTTATTGAAGCGAATCAGAATAAATCTGTGCCAATTTGTTTTATTTTATTATTAAAGTTTAAGAATATTGCCACCAAAAGAAAGATTGCGCCTAAAAATTGGGAGAAACTGGCCAAAATAGAAATTGTTATTCTTACAAATTTTCATATAATATTTTTTTCTGTAAACATCGCAAATTCCTTTTAATCCCTCAGAACCTATAGCATAATTATGGTATTTTTATACCAATTTTCAAGGCGGAATGCGACTTGCCACTAATATAGAGGAATTTTATATTTGCTTTCATTTTCCTTGGTTTTTCAAAGACTTACAGATAAAATAAGGCACTGAACAATTATGATATTGTATCTTAAATTAGCAATTCTATTTTTGGCTCAAAGTGTCACAAAATTAAGGCTGGTTGATTTCAATCATGATTTAATGAATGATAATTTTTTGAAATATCAGTGATTAGTAATTTATTATTTGTAATATGTGAAAATATTTTGAAATCTCAATATATTTGCAAAAAAATAGTTATTACAAATAATCTAATCAATTAACGCTGCTTATATTAATTATATATTATAAATTTCTTATAAATTTTTCTCATATAACTGGAAATTTCAAGAAAAAACCTGTAATATACATTAAATGACATGCTTTATGAACATGAACAATAAACAATATTGTAGTAGTTATTTGCGTATGTACTTGAATTCTTAATATATATATATACTATACTATATATATAATATATATATATTTATATAATTATATATTTAATCAATTAACATAGTCTTAAGTAAATGTTTTATTAGAGTGGTGTTCCAAATACATACATTGTTAAGAACTAATCAATAATGTAAATATTTTAATTTTTAATAGTTTTTACTTTCCATTAATTGATTAAATCATTTCATAAATGAGTAAACCTATTCACTAACACGAGTGGAAGTAATTGAAGTTCTGATTAGTTTTGTTATCACCATGACTGACTCTTCCTTTTAGGTTGTAGATGCTAATTTTCACATACTATTATTTATAATTACACCACATATAACCACGAGATCTTATTTTTATATTGAACATGTTTTATATTAATCATTCATAAAACCAAATTAGCATTGAATTTATATTCATCATATCTACAGCAGAAAGAGACATGTTTTCTGTTTAAGTGACAAGTATCACAGATAATACATGTGGCGTGTTAACGAGGGCGAACCGTTTGGTTGGTGAAGATAGCTGGGGGGAGGACGGGGTTGTGCCTTAAGCGCGGGAGGGCGGATACACAACTGTATGAGAGAATTTACTTTTGCGTACAGTCCACTCTTTCATTAGCTATCACACTACTCAGAACATTAAATTTCTCTGGGAAATATAAATATCGCCAATGGGCCTTTTATCGTTCCACGAACACACAAACAAAACACACAAAATTCAGCTTATTATTAAAGAGATTCAAAGTGAGAGAACACTCGATGGATTAAAAAAAGAATTAACAATATCATTTTACAACAAAAACGGATACTAAAATGCCTCAAAAAATTTAAAGAACGTTATAATTTTTATATTATTTTAGTGAAAAGTTTTTAAACCCATTTCATTTATTGAACTAGGATTATGATCTCCAGGTAATTCTAATATATTTTTCTAACCATTTTGATGTTTCAGGTATTTATAACAAAAACACTTTTCAGAAATCTGGAACAGCACTGTTCTATTATGGTCCTGTATGCTGTCTAGTGGTTTCTAACATAATCTGTCTCGTGGTGACTTTGAGAAAGGTTCAGTATCTGAAGCGAGGCAACTCTGTCCTTCGCCGAGAGGCCTTGGGTCAAAGACACACGGAAGGAAACAGCCCTCCCACGGCATACACAGCAACGGGCAATGAACAGACGCCACAAGGCAGAAACAGAAGAGGCACTGCAGTCGACGCCAAAACGTAAGACATTATTTATCATTCTCTGAAATACAAAAAATGTTTGTAAAATAAAATTATCTTGTTTCTTTTGTTACAGAATTAAACTGTATATTAAAATGATACTTCTTTCTGGAGGTATTGAACTCCTCACTGAGGTTATAATGTGGGTCATCACACACAAGAATTTTTCGATTATTCCGAGAGTATTATACATGTTCGATTATTCTAGGGATGATAAAGACTTACCCTATCGAACAGCGGGTTACGTCACGGACTTCTTCCGGGCGGCGGTCGTCACTTGGTTGGCCGCTCCTGAAGGGGGCTACATGGGCCTTATCATGAGGAGGCTACGTCGAGACAAGAATGGGAAGAAATCACCAGGAGCAGGCAACGCAGGCAGAAGGAAGCAAAACGTTGCGTAGAGGAGCCCCGGACAAGGAAGCCTCCTGGCGAGCACGAGCGCACTCGCTCGCTTACCACTCTGCGCGACGGCGGCCCAAAGCTCACTCTCAACCATACGAGTGAAAGAGGACAGTGGTTCTAAGTCCTCGTCTCAAAGGGGCAACGGCCGACATGTAAAGTATTCGTTACAGACAACACATTTTACAAATGTAAATAAAAACTGTTGAAATGTATGAAATAATCTCACTCAGATACACACTGATATAGGTACATTTCATCGAATAGTGAGTTACGAGACATTGCGTTAATAAAGAGAAACAGACCGACTTAAGCCATCTAATTTTTATATTTTTATGTAAAAAATCAAACTGAACATATCAGACAAATAAATTTGAAATAATTGCTCACAAATAATGAGGTAAATAGTAATTTTGAAAATTCGTTCATATAATGGCAAAAAGATATACTCAATAATATAGTAATTTGTAACAATATTGTGATATGGAGTAATGTTTGAGACGAGAGGCTGTCATAGAAGCGTGTAATAGGAGACAAACCAGAAATGGGTTGTTGATTACGAGAGAGCAGGATATAAAGTTAAAAATCAGTACCATGTGTAAAACTGTAACTCGATAAATGTGAATATATAATATGTTTCTTTGAATGTGAAATATTAATTATGGACCACAAAAAATGTACCAAGCTCTGAAAACATATTTATGCGTACTCATTTTTCATTTTGACGTCACACCTCTAGTTCACAATTGAAGAGAGGTCGTGCAAGTAAGAACATGTCCATCAAATAAGATTTTTCAGAAATTGCCAGAAATTTTGACAAGTTGTCGCCTTTTTAAATAATGTAATATGCTATACTGATTAGCAGTATAGTTACAATAGTCTACGTGTGCTGCTATTAAATCTATTATTTATAATTATGATGATATTTCCGGTTAAATATTGGACAGGTTTTCTTTTGCTTCGAAAATTTGGGTGTTGCTTTTGTCTGAAGCGCTTTCGGACGTGTTTGCTTTTGCTATTAGGGCTACTATTATTTGATTGGTATAAATTATTTTACTGCAGTGGGTATCCAAATAGTTTATTTTTCCAGGCAGAAAAACTGCAAAAATTACTGTAGCCAATGTAATCGTTTTTCGACCTGTCAAAATATTACGAAGATATAAAAAGAAATTAAAATCTATATGTGCCAGCAATTATCACCTCCTGAACATCACATTATCTTAAAGGTCGTGGCTATCCATTACCGTTTGATTTTCAAGCTATGGTCTCAATCAGAATCGAAGGAATATCTCCTGTAGAACAAAGAGTATCTGAAAATTCTCTCTTTTTATCTCCTAAAAGTCAATGACCGCTGACATTATAATCTATTTTCCAGTAGAATACCGTAAATACGTTGTGCTTAGTTATTACACAGAGAGAACAAAATGCTCTTTCGAACAAACATGAGACGGTAATTTGAGATAAATGAAAATATGCGACAAAGAAATTTTAGTATGATAAAGAATATGCAAGGAAATATGTTACAAATGTGAGACATTGGTCACTTGAGAGTATAGAAAAATGTGAATGAAAGATTAATTTGGGTAAGAGATATTGTAAATTTTAGAAACATCATTTTATTCCAGAAATTATCTTACATAAGACGATTGTTATGGACAAGTGAACCAGAGGTAGCAAATTTAAAACAGTATCGAATGAATATAGTAACTTTGTAAAAGACATGAAGAAGCGATGGAAGGTGGGGTTCTCGCAAGAGGTAAAATATCAGAATGTACACCGAGACGGAACGATCAAATCCGTGTATATGCTCCAGTCTAGAAAATACTTTTAGAATTTTTTTAATAGAGTAAACGTTTTAAGCAGACGCGAATATTGATCGCGAGATGTTTGATATTGGTTGCAAATTAATTAGGGTGAGTAAAACAGGAACAATTTTAAAATATGAAGTGATAAAAATGTATGGAATATCGCAAAAATTGGTAGAAAGTCGACACAAAAACAATGTTATGGAAAACATAAGTCTATGAACAGAAATGGAATTATTCGATTCGTAAGATTTTGGGTATTGGCGTGATGGATTCGACTTCTCGTTTTTTCTGGGGAGTTTACTTCACTGCTTCTTGCAAATATGGGGTTCCTGAAGCTCCCTTGTGCAGCCACTACTTCCTCCAGTTACCAGTTTTTTCTGTGCAATCTTTTAAAAACTATGTTTGGGGGGACAACGATGACGGCCTATCTATCCCCATATGTTTCATATAAACATGAAAATATGTTTATAAATACTTCAGTCTTTGGCAACAGAGACAGTACACAGTCCATGTTAATGGAACTTCTTACACGCCCAGGTGCCATTCACCAATGGGGGCCGGCCGCTACCAGCAACGCGCACTTCACCCTGAGAACTTCGGGCCGGAAACTATGACGGCAGCCCCACACAGTCGGAAGCCCATTAATCTATGCGCATTCCGACTCATCGTTTATTGATGTAAACAGACTAGGGCAGCGGGATATCTGTGCTTAGGCGTAATCGTAAACAAAATCTATCATGTAATGCATTGTTGTATCAACTATACTGAACTGTAATCCTATTCAAGTGTTTTTTCCTTATTCTTTTTTGGGTGGTTTTCTGATTGAATTTTTAATTTACTCTAATTCAATGGATTTAACAAAAACCCCTTCCGGTTTTGTTTCTCATTCTGGGCAACTTCCTAGCTGTGAGGTTAGGATTTAGCAGGCAAAAAGATATTTTCTTCTGTACCGACCGCAGCAAATGCTGAGTAGCATAGCAAGGAATCTGGTCTCTT